CTCGTTGGGAAAGTCCCACAGGCGCCGCTGGGCGCCCGGGGTGAGGATAAACAACATGGCGGCGGTGCTGGCCTGGGCAGCGTCGGGCGAGGGTGTGATAGAGTCTGCAGTACATTGCGTAGAGAGGGCCGTTCGCGGGCAACGGCTAGACATCTGTGAGTCTGGATGGCCTGCGTAGCCACAAGCAGATGCGACGCGGTGTGACGATGATCGTTGGAAGAAAGGACCGGCCCTCGGACCGGGGTATCCGCGTCGCGGCAAACATGTCATCACTGACACCAGACCTTGTCTTCGACTCTTGTTCGACTTCAAGTTGACTTCGACCAACTAACTGTTCTACAGCAATTTTCAACGTTCCTTATTGCTCATGATCATTGTCAATAATCCACGCCTCAAGTATCTGCGAGACCCTCGACCATCTGCTGGAGCATCTTTTGCCATCCAGAACGAAACACTGTCTTCGCTACTGCATACTCTGTTGCGAGGGCGCTGGATTGCGTTGTCAACTATACAATTTCTCTAGGAGAATTCGTCACTTCCGCGCAGGGGTTACGCTCAGTGAAGATCAGTGACTAGCTTCTCGAATTCTCCAAGTTAACAACGTTTCCGCGTGGCTCTGGGACGCGCTCTCTTTTGCCGGGTCTGCTGTTCAGCCTTTTATCTCTAGGTGAACCATTGACCCCCCCTCTTCAGATGTGATATAGAGGCTGAGCGATTCCTTCGAGCTGATTGATGATCGCTAATGTTCTTCGAAGGCAACCGGGTCTGATTTCTTCGCGAGACGGACGACCCCTAAAGCGCTTGCCATAATGCTGCGCATGATGGAGGGTTGCTCCTCTCGATGATGTTCCCGACGCAAGCTTCATGTGAGTAGACGTTCGCTCAATGCGATGTACGCCCTCGGTACGTACTAGCCGGCACATTTGGCCGTGGTGGACACTCCGGCGGCGCAAAAACAAGTACAGCGCCGCCGCCGCATGTCCCAGACCAGAGGACCCTACGCGCGCGAAACTGCGGTGCTGTGGGAAGCTGAGGTGAGAAACGTCTTCGCCGTTATACGGAAGTTGGCCCACTCAGAAGTTGGGATTCACCTTCTACAGGTCGAATCGTAGGCACCTAGGCAATAAAACCATGCAGGCCGAATTATCTTTCATAGTCAACAGTCAACGAATGAACGGCCTGGCGCTCATACGGGTCGATTATGGGCCCATCCTGTCTTGCCTGTATATCAGCCAGCCGACAGCTGGGGTCGTGCGAATTTGGTAAGCTGGTGTGGGCGTCGAGATCCAGTGCGTCTTCTTCGCCCCTTCGCGTCTCACGCACCGTGTGCCCAGCAAGGTGTCCAGTGTAGTATGACAACTCATTCCCATGCAGACGACCTTCTCACCTGATAGACGCTAGCGTCGGTACATGATACATTTGTCAGATGGCGTGTTGGGAGGCGGACTCCCTCGACTGCTCTGGACCCTTTTGCCAGCTGTGCGGTCCCACTCGAGTTCTCCTCCCTCAACCGTGTGGAGCCCATACGGTCGCGGGAGCGCCGCGCTGGTAACAAAGGACTCGAGGAACGCCGTCCGTTCTGTCTCCGCTCCCAGCCTTCTCAAAGTCTTCTGCTCCCGCATTCAATCGTTTGTGCTTGCGGTCCAATCTGAATCAACTCTTGAGAAGAGTTCTGAACGTCTATCGATGATCGCTGGCTGTGTTTACGATTTCTGTACGTCCGATCTCCGATACCGTTGAACTTGGCAGCTGCTGACTTACCTTTGCGGTCATGCGTCCTGCTGCAGTCGCAGATCGAATTCAACGCCGTCCCGTGTTCGTTGTCGGGTGCCCGTGTCCACTATTATGTGCTACGTCGCAGCCCCCACATGCCACTGGCTATGGCGCGTAGGATCAGCGCTAGTCGGAGTGTAACGGTACAGGCGTCCCCACCTGGCCCTCCCCCAGATAATAAGTACGGGACATACAGCCCCAATTATTGGCCCCAAACGAAGTCATCCGGGCAGGCGGCCGTGCAACGCCCGTGCGAGCCTCGAGGTGCGTCCAAGGTGCGTCGCTGACTCGCGCCACCGTGAGCAACAGGACATCAGAGCAAATCCCCCAAATTCCTTCAGTAGTGCGCAGTGCGCACATCGTCAGCCGAACGCTGCCGGAAAGGGACAAGAATGGCCCGCGCGGGGCCTGATTGCGCGGGGGAGGGGGTGAAATGTAATGTGCGGGGGAGGCGATAGCTAGTCCCGCGGGGTAGCGGGGTAGAGATCGGTTGTCTTAGCTTATGCTGTTGACTGCAGAAGAGGTGCGCTCGACTCGAGAGTTGAATCTGAACTTGGGATGAGATGCAGGACGGCAGGCAGGCTCACATGACCTTGGGAAGATGCGCTCTCTCGACACGTCATCGGTTCACAATGAAATGCATTTTCGGCCGCACGAGACGGAAGACAAGTCGTACATCTCCCGGAGTTCTCGTTCGTCTTCGCCAAGCTTCAATTCGTCGTGGCGCCTGTGCGGATAGCTGGGGAGCTGCTGACTTGTCTTGTCTGTGCCCGGACGATGCTGAATTCGCGCCTGGCGAGATGTATTGGCAATGTGCGACAGATCCGTCGGCGTCCCACTTGTCGCACGCTTGGCCAGAGGAAGGTCAGCAGTGGGTCAGCTGGCCCGGCGTTGGCGTCATTGATAGTCGCGTGTCCTTCCGTCGATAGCGCGGGCCGGGGGTGGAGGGACGCGGACTTATATACGGACGTGAGGAAGCGAATTCGACCAAGGATTCTCTTCGTCCCAACCCTCATCGTCGTCCCACCCATCTGCCCACTTGCCCACTCACATTTACCACCATGACTACCTTTTCCTACGACTTCAAGACCCCGGCCTACACGGGCAAGGTCGACTTCCCTACCGGCGTCTTCATCGACGGAGAGTTCAAGGAGGGCGGGGACAAGACCACGATTGAGTGCGTAGACGTCCTCCCCATACATCTCACATCCATCTCCATAGCCCCACATCCTTCAACTACCTCAGTTGCTCCGTCTCGAGTCGAGACTTGACTCGCTTCCCCCCAATTCCCCAACCGATCTATGACCCATCTAACCGCCGTCCAGTGTCATCAACCCCACTACTGGAAAGCTCATTACCACTGTCTCTGAGGCTACTACCGCCGACGTCGACATTGCTGTCAAGGCTGCGCAGAAGGCTTTCGACACCACATGGGGACTGAACGCGTCTGGCGCGCGCCGCGCTGAGCTCCTTTGGAAGCTCGGGTTGTTGATGGACGACCACATGGAGGAGCTTTGTGCGCTCGAGGCGCTGGACAACGGCAAGACATTCGGCTGGGCGAAGAATGTCGACGTCGCCTTTGCGATCCAGTCGATCAAGTACTACGCCGGATGGGCGGACAAGATTCAGGGCAAGGTTATCGAGGTCCGTCAACTTATTCTCCCTGCTACGCTGCCCCTCCGGCTGACCTGTGTGCAATTCAGACCGACGAGTCGAAGCTCACCTATACCCGCCACGAGCCAATTGGCGTCGTTGGCCAAATCATCCCTTGGAACTTCCCCCTCCTCATGATGGCCTGGAAGCTCGGCCCTGCGCTGGCGACGGGCTGCACAATCGTTCTTAAGCCGTCCGAGTTCACCCCCTTGACCGCGCTGCGCATGTGCTCTCTCATACGCGAGGCGGGCTTCCCGCCAGGCGTTGTCAACATCCTTGTCGGCTACGGCCACACGGTTGGCGCGGCAATGAGCTCGCACATGGACATCCACAAGGTGCGTCGACACAGGCCATGTCCGATTCGCCGGACTAAGCCTTCTTCAGCTTGCCTTCACTGGCAGCACGCTTGTTGGCCGCAAGATCATGGAGAGCGCCGCGAAGTCGAACTTGAAGACCGTGACGCTCGAACTCGGTGGCAAAAGCCCGAACATCATCTTCGACGACGCGGACCTTGAGCAGGCGGCGAACTGGGCAGCTCATGGTATCTTGTGAGTTGGGCTGCTATCTGATACAGAGTGAACACAGCTGACGCATCGTAGCTGGAACCACGGCCAGGCCTGCTGTGCTGGCTCGCGTATCTTCGTGCAGTCCGGCATTTACGACAAGTTCCTCGCTGCCTTCGCCGAGAAGACACGTTCAATCAAGGTCGGCGACCCATTCGGCGATGACGTCGACCAGGGCCCGCAGGTCTCCCAGCAGCAGTTCGACCGCATCATGGGCTACATCGACTCAGGGAAGCAGGAGGGCGCGACCGTGCACGTGGGCGGCAAGCGAGTCGGCGAGGCGGGCTACTTCATCGAGCCGACGATCTTCACGGACGTCACACCGGAGATGACCATCGTGCGGGAGGAGATATTCGGGCCCGTCGGTGTGGTTATCAAGTTCACGGACGAGGAAGACGTGATCAGGCAGGCGAACGACACGGTGTACGGGTTGGCGGCGGCGGTGTTCACGCAGGACATCAACCGCGCTTTGGAGACCGCACATAAGCTGCAGGCGGGCACGGCGTGGATCAACTGTGTGAACCAGTTGCACGCACAGGTGCCGTTCGGCGGCTTCAAGCAGTCGGGCATTGGCCGGGAATTGGGCGAGTACGCGTTGGAAAAGTACGTGGATTTCCTTCTCTGCCTCCTTGTCCCGTTGCTGATTGATTTTGCAGCTACACGAACATCAAGGCTGTGCACGTCAACTTGCGGCACAGGATGTAAGAGCCTGGCGCGGTGGGAGTTGTTTATCGATAGGAATATGGGTATCTATCTGCATTGTATCATAGCTGCGCTTGTCTTGAACTCGCATCAATCGCATTGAATCTTGTCATCTCTTATACTGGACTGTGTTGAAGCTTTTGGATGCATCGGCAAGACAAGTGGGTGTCATAGCACGCCGTCCAAAGTCTCAAAGAACGTCAAGGTTTTGGTGACACCCTAAGCCCTTCGACGAACCTGACTGCTCGGTACAGTAATTGCGCAAAATTTGAGTCGATACATAAAGTAAACACTGAACCCGCTTTCATCTCCCCGGTAGTATATCGGTTAGTACACCCGCCTGTCACTGATTGGCCGGTTCGCGGGAGAGCGGGGTTCGACTCCCCGCCGAGGAGCTTTGTTTTGTTCTGTTTTGGTTCCCGTTTGTCCGACGTCCACGTCTTATCGGCTATTCTGCAGCTTGCGAGAACCGCTGCGATGCTGAGATTCCGCACAACATAATGCTGCAGGTCAGTGCTGACAGAGCACACTTCCTTTTATTGCCGATCCATCATTGCTCTCTGCGCAGTTTGGCTATATGTGGTCTTGGAGGGTCTTGGTGGTCCATGCCACGTGGCTCGACACTCAATCTCAACGCGTTTTGCTTCCGTCCCGCTGTGCTCCCACAGGCTCCCACTCAGCCCTTCTACTGTGGCCTTTGTTTTGGCTCTCGCTCGCCTGATTATCAATCTCTTCGCGCTCTGCAAACGACTACTATGCGCTGGATTTACTGGATCTGATCGAGACTGCACGATGTTATCCGCGCACTGCGAACGCAAGCGCAAAAGCGACAAGGCCCCCTTGTTGACGGAACCCAAGAGATTGAAAAGGGAAAGAAAACCGTCTGGTACGCTTTTTCACTGCTTGAGACATTGTATCGCCTCTTAATTGCATTTAGCGCGGTTCTTGCAGCGCGATGAAAGGAACTGGCGTGCGTTCTCTCGGAGAAGTGGGTGTCTCTTGCAGACATTGCTTGCGACCTTACTATGGCTCACAGTTTAAGCCAATCAGACCCAAAGAAGTACCCCTCGGATAGTCGTCCTGCTTTGTCGTTGGATCCCTGTGCGGACGGCAATGAGGCATCACCATCAGCTGCAATCCCAACACGCCTCTCCAAGGGCCGACGAAAAGGCGGCATCCGCGTTAAAACAAGCCCTGTCGATTATATCGATATCACCGACTCAGAGAACGACGACATCATCGTCGACCTGCCACGGACGCAGACGAGATATACGGAGAACTCGGCATGGCCTTCCTTTTCCAGAACCATCATGGTAAAAAATCGAAGCGCGACCGCTCACCGCCCGCGCCCCCGAAAACGCCCACTCCCTCTGAGGAGATACCACGCCTCATAACGAAGTCCCCGGCTACCAACAGAGTTGTTAAACGCGGTCGTGAGCATGATGACACGCCGCGCATCACCGTCCGAACACGGTCGACTAGCCCACCAGCCCCACCGCCCATGCTCTTCCCGAGCGTCTCGGCGGCGGCACCAGAACCTTCGCAGGCCGACGCGGCGCGGACTCGGAGACGCGAGGACGCGTTCCGCAGACGTCAGGAGCAGGAACAAAGACGACGAGAAGCGCGGCCCCCAGTGGCAGCGCCGTCCACAACACCACTGACGGATGATGAGCAGAATGAGATGGAATTCCTCATCTGCCTATCCGAGGCGGCCTCTCTCGCGAAGGCCGTCAAGCCGTCCTCTGAGGCGGTCACCCTTATCCATGAACTTGTCAGGCTGTCCGGCATTCATTTCGAGCCACCGACACCCTCACTCCCACCCGCACCCGTTGCGCAGCCGCCCGTATCGCCATCCACAAACACGCCGCATGCGCCGACCGTCCATTCCGCCCCAGGTCCAGAGGGCCCTCGGCGGTCGTACGCAGCTACCGCGAAGTCGCTCCCCACGCGACCACAACCGCCACGTCATTCGGAACGCCCCGCGAAACAGCCGGGTACCCTCAAGACGCCACCTTCCGCACGCGCACCGAAACCCCGCGGACGTCGTCCTCCCCGCCGCCTTCTAGTCGTGTCTGACCTCCCCGCCCTACATTTTCCCGATCCTACACAACGCCCACACCCTCTGACCATCCTCGATGCCGTTAACAAGCCCGTTGTCGTCGAATCCGGCGACGGCATCATCGGGGTCAGCTTTACTCGTGGCGGCCAGATTGCTCTGCACACCGAGTCTCCCGGAGCTGCCGCACGACTCCTTGCGAAGTTCTCCGGGAACATCTCACGGTCCCTGGGCAAGCTGTTCAATGTCGATCCCACGAGGGCCGAGCTGCAGCTGGATGCGCCTTGGCACAAGGTCGTCGTCCATGACGTGCCGATTCCGCCCAAGGGCTGGGCATCCTGGCCGTCGCACTTCGGGGACGACACCACAGTGCAGCAGCTCGCCCAGGGGGTGAGAGATTGGGAAAGGGAGGTGTCACAGAAGGTGAACAAGGCGGGCAGTCGCCAGGGACTCAAGCAGTTCCAGGCGCTCATCAAGGACCGTGACCACGGTGTGCTGTTCAAGGCCCTGCAGTCCGCTCAGCACGGTAAGAATCAGACCGTGTCGTTTGTGGCTGCATTTTCGGAGGAGAGCACCGCCAACGCGCTCCTCCGAAATGGCATCTCTCTTGTAGGTACTCATTGTCGTGTTTCTCACTACCGTCCCCGATCTCGTGGCCATGCCATACATTAACACCCACATTACCCCCCCACTTCACATTTTATTTCACCGTCTTATCAACCGCTGTATCGAGAAGGACTTCGGCATGGGCAATAGTTCCCTGGCCTTTTACTCTACCCACTGATTCATAGTTGGCCGTCTACGTATGGGTTCACGTACGCTACCGGACGCCACCGCGTCTTAGCTTCATCTTGGCTTGCTGCGGTATACAAATGCAGAGTTCAAAAAAAAAAAAAAAACGGAGAACTCGGATGGGTACATCGTGATAGGCGACTCGGACGCGGAGAGCGCATCTCCTGGCCCATCGTCGGCAATTCATACCCCTCTGACGCCAGCGAAGACGCATGGCTACGACACGCATTGCTCGCCAGCGCATGCTGTGACGAGCCGGACATCACAACGGGCAGCGTCACCATCTCCTGACGCACTGGATGCGCAGCCGTCTCTCATCGCAACTCCCTCCTCTCCCTCCCATACAGCAGAACCAACACGCCCCTGTGAGCAGCGCGAGGACCGCAACGCGGACCATGTAGAGCCTCGTTCCCACTCAACAAGCGATGTCCCCGTCGTGTTCGACAGCGACCGCTCGCAAAGGGGAGTCGAGAAGAAGGAGGCCGGCTACCATGACTTTAGTACTGGGAAGCGACGGCCACCACCCCTTTTCCAGAAATTCTTCGACAGGCTACCGGACAAGCGGATTACGGACTGGCAATTCTGATGCGCGCATCAGTGGAAGGCTCATTGCGCACTTGCGACGACCTGTATCTGTCTACATACACCTTGTATTTGGCAATACCTCAGTTCTCCATCCACGTAGTACTTTGTTATCTTGGCGACTTTCTTGCGCATAGCGGCACCTGCACGTCTTGGGATCAACGGGCACAGCCGCACAATCCCTCTCGTTGAAGTTGCGCACTGGTTTCCTCCCGCGGGTCTCTTTTGGGCTTGGGCATACCATGCTGTCTTGGGACGGAGTGACAAGTAGAGAGAAGTCACAGCTTATATGTAGTCTTGTACTTGATTCCTCTGACCTGATTCTGCCATTCATCATCATGAACGACGAACGATGGCGCTGAACTTCAGAACTAGATACGAAGCAAGATCCCCCGGCCCGTCGGTCGCCGGATAATTGGTGCGACGGGCCGACGTCCAGCCAACGTCACCAGGCAAACGTCCAGCAGACCTTGGGCGAACGAGTCAGTTTGCACCGCGAAGCACCCCTTCGCGAACAGACAACTGCTTGCTTCGCCTCAATCTCGCTCTCCGTTGGGCTCTGCTTGCGCAACCACTATCTGCTCCTCATTGCATCTGCGAAGGCTTGCGCTACTTACTCGCCCCTCTGAGCATCTTCGTGCGCACATGGCCTCGTCGAATTCGGACATGCAGGCTGTTCGGTTTCACCCCCCGAAGTACGACATCCGCGTAGAGCGAGTAGCAATTCCTAGGTATGTAGATCCTTTTCTATGCGGCGCTACCCGGCTCATCGAAATTGTACAGCATCGAACATCCGGATGATGCGATCGTCAAGATCAAGGTGCGCACGCGCGCCGTTGCCGACTTGTGGGTGGCGGTTGACGATGAGAGCCCCCATGTTATAGCTTGCAGGGTTGTGCGGTGTGTCACATACTGTCATAACGGTGGCTATGCGATACTCACTCGTTCCTTAGGCAGCGATCTGCATACGTATCGGGGAGTTGAAGTGGCAGACAGGGTGTAGGTTCTCTCATAAGAACTGTTGATGGGTATTGACGCTGTCATCGCGCTCACAGACATATTTGCGGCCACGAATTTGTGGGAGAGGTGGTTGCTCTTGGCGATAGCTTTGGCAAGAATGTGGAAGGCCGACCGCGACTATACGAATCCCTGAGACTTGGTGATAAAGTTGTCGCCCCGTTTACAGTGAATTGTGGCGAGTGCTCGTACGCATCGTGCGCACGTTTTAGTCCTCTGACTGACATTATACTGTCTGCTCAGCGTCTGTCGCCTTGGGTTTACCTGCCGCTGCAGAGGCAGCTTGCTCTTTGGGTCGCCGGCGCTGCAAGGGGCTCAAGCGCAGTTCATCCGAGTACCCCTCGCTGGAGGCACCCTGTTCAACCTCAGCGACGATGGCTTGACAGATGCTCAAAAGTCTATTGCCGACAGCTCGTTGATGCTTCTGGGCGATATCTTACCAACGGGCATGTTTGCGGCGGCTCAGGCGTTGAATCATCCGAAGCTGCAAGCCGATCTCAGTGGAAAGCCTTGGCCAGCATGTCTTGACAAGGCATTACAGTCTCAAGAGGGGCATATGACCACCATGTCCTTTGCCGTCATTGGGCTGGGTCCTGTTGGAGTGCGTACCCGATGTCTTCTAAGTTTTGAGGCTTACTCACTGACAGTCAATGACAGGTTTGCGCTGTCGTCGCCCTTCTGGATATGCTTGCCTCGCGTAGAATTCCGTACGTCGTGGTCGCGATTGACCCCAACCCTTTGCGACGGCAGAAAATGGAAGCGATCTTGGCAGCCCTTGGACCTGATGGCAAGGGAAATGGCAAGGTTTTCGTGAAGTCCATTGAGGACGCGAAAGACCTTGTTCAAAAGGAGTTGGAGGTCGGATGCAGCGCTGTGCTCGAGGTATGCAACACCGTCAATCGATTTGTATTGTACTGACTGTAGGCAACAAAAGATTGTCGGAAACGT